ATTTTGTACTAAATTAATAATAAATGTAAATAGAAACGTACTTGAATTTATAGTGAAAAAATTGTTTGCGTCATGCGGTAGAATCTTTGGAATCAACACGATATCTTAATAACTAATTTTTTTCTGGTGATGAAATTTTTAAAAAATAAAAATAACAAACTTTTGATTCAAGGATCATAATTATCTTTTAATATGACAAACGTTTGCAATTTCTATTTCGCTCATAATAAAATAAGAATACTATAAAAATAATAGTTGCACATTACAAGTCCACACTTAAACCCGATGCATTAAGACGCAATGCTGTTTAATTGTATTTGATCACTTTTAAATGGACTCATTAAATTGATAACTCGATATGTATATTGAGTCCCATATTAAGCTCACATGTCGAAAAAAATCTAACAACTCTTGCTGTGTCTGTCTCATCCACAGCTTATAACCTTAAGGGTATTTAACAATGGAAGGCTTGGCTTAAAGATAATCTTTATTCTCATGATCAATCATATCGCAGAGATAACAAAAGTCGAATAGAAGTTCATAATGAAATTGGGCCCAATGCTAGGAGTTATTAGGCTTAGTAAGAAATAACCTTTGAGGTAGAGGATTTAAGACATTAATAAAAATCATCACCCTTATATAGTTAACCCATAAGCAATTTGTTCTTGTAAAGTCCTCATCAAAGACTATTCTTATCTTGCATGCGATTGTAAAAACATTATTTTTATTAAACAGTTCCAAAGAAAGCCTTGAGATACATACCTGAAATATTGATTATGAAAAGTCAAGTTCAGAAATAGACAGATTTGACTGGCACTCCTTGAAATTAATTACCTTTTGTATTCTCTAGACATCTATTATAGATTTTTTTATTTGCTCAGTGATTAAATGAACAAATGAAAGAATTCTAACTAAGAGGTCGAAAAAAAACTTATTGATTCGTCTTCTAAATTTTTTCATAAGACTTGTTATATAGTTTTAAAAGAAAAGATCTTAGGAGAAAGACTTTTACTAAGAAGAGAGTCCATCAAAAAGTATTAAAAATGTATTGTTTCATAAAATTCTATGTAATGTATTAATCTAATTCAGAAATTTATAATTAATATCAACATTAAGTTTAATTAATAAATTTAGGTTAATTAAAAAAATCAGGACTATATATATACATTAGCAAGCTAGGAAGCTGGAAGCAGAATTTATTGTGAGACTTATATGAAAATATTTATTTCAATTTTGGTATAGAGATTTAGTTTACTTTCCAATAAATTAAAATATAACCACAATAAAAATATTTCATTAGTAAATAGAACATAACGAAGAAGATGTAATATAAATATACATGTATGTAAGTTAGATAATACAGGTTGATAAAACTTTCCTCTATTTGATTAATTATATGTTAGAGTGGGTGCTTCCTGTAGAGGAGAAGATTTAAATGCTGAAATGTATGTAAGAATTAAAGAAAACAAATTAGAAAAGAGGCCTAAAAAAGTATTTATCACTTTCCCTAATTACGATGCTACACCCTATCATCTGTATACCTATTCATCTCAATTAATAATTGTGAATGCCGCTACAATTAAATCAGATTATGTGTACATATGTGATGGTCTATGTATATGTATTTAATTTTCTAGAGAAAAAAAAAAAAGAAAGGAAAGAAAATGGATATTAATTAGGTATATGCAAAAAGGAACGTAAGCACTGGTTTTTGAAACGTTGGAGTATGTCTTCTCTTCCTTTCCTCGATCCATGCACCAACTTGACTTGAGTGGCAAAAAGCTTTCTCTCTAAAAAGCTTGCTGCTTGCCCTTTTCCCCTTCTTTTCAACTACTCCTTCTCTACTCTCTCGCCTTTATAATTAACATATTTTTTAAAAATTTCTCCTCTCTCTCTCTCTCTCTCTCTTTTCATGTGTCTTTAATACATATATATACACTATATATATGGATATATCTATATAGAGAGAGAGAGAGAAAGAGAGAGAAGAGAGAAAGAACGTGGCCATGCATGTGAAGAAGATTGAAGATATGGACCCAGCTGGTAAGGTATAGTGGCATTGGTGGAAATGAATTAATTAAACAAGCTTTACTATTTAAGGCGCCATGGACAACTTAAAGAGTTGCCATGCAATGTGTCTGCCTTTTAATTTGAAATTGGAATGTTATTATGTGTAAGATATGTAGTATCTATTACATAGTAAATATAATAATAAGAATGTAAATATAAAAATGGGGAATTGAATTGAAATTGGGAGTGGAGAAGGTAGCTAGCTGGGGTTGAAGATGCAGGGGGGATTTGGCATTTATGGGTTGTTTGTTTGTGTATGTATATGTGTGTGTGTGTGTGTGTGTGTGTAGGGACACAATTTTCGAGACTGTAAAAGCGTTGAAATGTGGAGCCAGTATCGTCCTCTCCGTTTGTCACTCTGAGACACAGTAGACACATGAATTGATGGACATGAAGCTAACCCTAATCTAAGCACCAACCCAGACACACACCATATATATTATCTATTTTTGAAAAATCCCTTTTAATTTATTTATAATAAGTCTTTGCTTCATCAATTTCAAACCTCTTACTTTTTTTTATTCATCACCAACTAATTAATTCATCTGCCTAATTTCTCTACAAATATATCTATCTCTATCTATACTTTAGTATACATAATACATATCACCTAGTTAATTTCTGGAGATATAATATGTGTCGATATAGATGCATAAATTTTGAAAAAAAAAAGAAAAAAAGAAAAAAAAAAGAAGAAAAACTGAACATCATCCTCGCTGCCATTTGCAGGAGTATAGGTATACAATGCAAAAATAGTACACTTGGCATGAAATAGTGACAAAAGAAATTTAAAACAGCATTAAAAAAATAATAATAATAAATAAAAAAGAAGAAGACTGTTTTTTCATTTACTTTATGAAACACCAAGCACGAGATTTCAGCTCTTCGTGAATTTTTTATTCAAAGTCTTATCATGGTGGGAGTGATATAAGTAAATAGTAATTTTTTGTGGCTCTCACTGCACGTGATTTTTCTTTTTTCTTCTTTATTACACGATCAATTATTGAAAAATTTTAATTTCAATTTCAAAACCCTTTTCATCTACAGCAAATTACATGTTTAAACGTTTAATCACAGTAGACTAAGATTGATCATGGCATGTAGAAGGGAGGGATTGTAGCTCTTTATTTCATATGCAACTTGCATGACAATGACAATGGCAATATGCCCACTGCTGGACATTACAAGTCAATTATTATTATTATTATTATTTTTATTAATAATTTAAAACTAAATATAACCCAAATTAATAATTTGTAATTGGTGGGTCATAATTTTCTTTTTAGGTAGGGTAAATCCAAATGTGTAAGTGTAAATTATTATTACCATAGGATTACAATGAAACTAATTAACTGTAAATGTTTGAAACCACAATAATCAAGAACCAAGATGAAAGATATATAAAACTGGACCCGACCCTTTCACAACACTGGTGCTACCTGTATTGAAAAGGATAGTTGTGCCAAGTCTCAATCTTGACATTGAGACTTCTAATCTTATGCTATAATCCAAAACTATATATAATGTTTTTCTTCAATCTCCATTTTCTAAACCCAAATAACTTATAAAATTCAACATTAATTAACACTGTATATATAGTTTTAGTTTGATGTATGTAATTGGAAAAAATATAAAGATATAAGACACTGGGTATGCTTAGTTTTGTTGTGAATATTGGGTTACTTGTGTAAAAAGTCCAAAAATTCAGTTGAAATTTGTTTCATAGTAAAAATTTGCTATAACATCCGAGGAAGCCTGTAGAGAAAGATGAAGCTTTGCATGTTTGTCTCATTAATGGCAGTTTTAAAGACACCCATTGGATTCATAACATCTTAATTACCATCAAAATCAACTATGCATCAAAAGAATAAACTGCATGCTACAACATTACTGCATAAAAATCATGCCCAAATTTAACCGAGTATTAATTGCCATTAATTCACTTATAAAAATCGACAAATTGTAATAACCTCAGAAGAAGGGAATTGCGATTAACCGAGGATTTATAGTGATTTTGACCAATCCAAATAGTCGCCGAGGAATTGGGATGGGTAAAAAAAAGAAAAGGCCAGGTGAGGTGAAAAAGGAGGAGCATGGACCCTGACTGTATCTGCGGTCATCGCCTCGAATAACTCGCCCCTCCTAAAAGTGACACGCCAGACGAGGGTCCTTTTTTCATGAAAATAAATTAAAAATTAACTAAAAATAAAAATAGAAGAGAGAAATTTAATGAGTCTCACAAGTACTACAACCACAGCATATAATATCTTTTTAAAGAATTTAAATTTAAAATATATTTTATTATTCATTGGAAATAAATAAATAAATAAAAAGGGTTGTGAGATATTAAATTGGGTGTTTCTATTATCGGGCAGCTCAATAACTCAACCACTCCTCTGACTCGCTTTTAGCTCCCCCTCTTTACTTTTGATTCCTTTTCTATTCAATAATTTATGTCATCATTATTTTTTCTCATTCATTGACTCGTACGACCATCCTAATCTACGTTATATGTATTTACATTATTACACCGCCTATTATTATATTATTTACTGTGTATCAAAGTAATCTAACGGTGGCTTTTTAGTTTTTAGTTTTTACTTTTTTACTGCTGCTACTACTACCTGTTTCACACTCAATTCTCGTACATGTTGTGTTAACCTCTAATCATCCACCCCAGTAAAATCCAGCGGTAGATATGGGTTTTCTTGGGTATGAACATATACATTTATGCTTATGCTTATGTTTATGTATATAAGAGAGAGAGAGAGAGAGAGAGTGCACGGGGTCGTGGTCATTTCTGGAACTGAGAAACCAGATGGTGGGGTCGAGTCTCCACCTATGTTTTTGTCTTTTTTAACGTTGGCTTTCTGCTCTTTTTACTCTTCTTAAAACCCCCCATATGCCCAGATCATTCTCTTCATCATCTATCTCATGATCACTCATCTCTCTCTCTCTCTCTCTCTCTCTCTCTCACGCACATCCCCCTTGAAGATAGGCGAGAGTCTAGGGGGATAAAGAGATAAGAGAGAGTAGAGAAACACCCACTTTGAAGATTTGAAGATGATGTGCAAAGGAAGCTTCTTTTTTGAGGGGAATGTTGTCTGGCTCGAGGACATTTAATTCTATGCATCCATCCATCCATCCATTTACATCTCCAGATCTGGACTACTTGGATTAATTTTGAGTTAGTGTCGTCGGACCAGGCTTCATTCCCCCCAATTTCTGCTTCCTCAAGCTTTCTCACCGTCGTGGACTATACCCTCATGTCAAGGTTTGATTTTTAATTTCTCTTTTTAATTTTTATGTGAAAAGTGAGTTACGGTTTCGGTTGATGGGTTTTTGTTTTTAGAGTAATTAAGATCGGTAGTTATACGCAGATTGGTGTAATGATGAAGTATTTGACCTCATGGGTTTGTTTCTTCTTTGTTTTTATTTTTTCTCGTGTTGTTATGATGGTGTTCTTGTCAGTGTAAACCCCTTTTCTTCTTCATCATTACCCAGATTTTCTTCATGATGGCTTCTAGTATCTGATCTGTCTGTTTCTGCCTTTTCAGATCTAGCTTTGAACTTTGGTGAACATTCTTTTTCTCTTTTCTCTCTTCTCTCTCTCTCTCTATCTCTCTCTCTCTCTCTCTCTCTCTCTCTCTCTCTCTCTCACTCTCTCCCTCTCCGATCTCCCTCTGATCTTCATCTTCTAGGGTTTGATGATGCTGATTTTCAGCTCTCTCTAAATGAATCCATTTGAAGCAAGCAAGCTAGCATAAACCGTCTTGAAGATTTACAAGCAAGAATATGTTTCCCTTTCTGCCCTTACATGAAGAGTAACATTAAATGATTTCTTTTTGCCAGAAACCTTTTTCAGAAATAAATTAACAAAATAAATCTAAAATTGCTCTGATATTCTTGCTATAATTTTATATCCATGTTTCTTCCGGTAATAATGAGTTTCTTTGTGGGGATGTTCTGCAAAATCCGTTCTTACAGATGTCGTTTACTTTTCTTACCCAGCCTTGTTATCACCCATCTTAAAGCGACTGTTTGGCTTGTATCAAATTTCTGGTAAACTTGCTTTGCTCGGTAACGGAGACGAGCAGCTTAATTTCATCTGAGTATTTGGTTTACACATTCGTTTGAAATTGCTCCATATATCATTTGTTGGCCCGTTCATCTTTCATGGCATAGCAAATATCTATATACAATACGATAATTTTCAGTCTCTCTTTCAGTTTTAAGTAATCATTCATACTTGAAAACTTGAGAACAGTAGAGTCGCAAGCCTCTGCTAAGACTCATACGGACGTATGTGAATGTTGGTGAGGATGTTTAACGGGAACCCATTTACGTAATCTTAATTTACTTCATCCTTTTTAAACTCTGATTTGTTTTAGTAATTTAGTGTTCCGGGCAGGTTAACAATCAATGAAATTGGTAATTAATTCTCTGTTCTTACTTAGAACAAAATATTAAGATCTTCTTGTTTTTTCTTGGGGATACCTAAGTACTAATAATATTTAGTTGCGAAGGGGGTCATTATCAATCTGTACCATGTAACCATAAAAGATGAAGAATTTGAGTCTCCTCACTGATATACCCAGCTGGAATTTGCATAGGTTGGTGAAGTTGCATGCTCTAACAGGTAAAGTTTCATTGAAGTAGTCAGGTGTTTCCTATGTAGCAGATATTCTTAATTGTCAATATAATAAAAGAAATTATAGAATAAATGGAGATGCAGATACTAATCATCTCATATATTTCTATCTCATCATACTTTTTCTTTGCACTTTTCTTGATTAGATCTCATGGGAGTTGCCGAAGAAGAAAACTTGTAGAAAGAAGAAATAAAAAAGTTAGTTGATTAGAGAGATTGGCAGAAGAGTTTTCTAGTTCCTCGGAGTAGTAAAGCTCTTATAATAAGCTTCTTTCTTTCCTTCTCAAGACACATTTCAATATTTAATCTTTTGCCCAAAATGTCAGGAGAAAAGTAAGACATAGATACATCTAGTATTGCGTGCCTAGCTATATTCATGCTACTGGCTATCACCCTTAACTATAATGTGATCTTCGAAACTCAGCAAGTTCTTCTACGAATACATGAGAGATTGTGTTCTTTGAGATCTTCTCAATTAGTCAAATATGGAAATGTACATAAAATATTTCATTTTATTACGTTGGTCATTAATTTGAGACATCTTTTTTACTTCTTAACTTCCAAATAAGTCACCATGACAAAATCTGAATGGTACAAATTTTCACTTGGACTCTCTACCCACAACTCTGACCAAATCACATAAAGGATATCAAAAGCTGGGACTGGAATCTTGAAAAACGTCACTTCTTTTTCCCCTTCATATTATTAGTTATTACTTGTAAGATGTGAATTGTACCCTGGAGGGGTAATCTTGCTCGTTTATACTTTGAATGTACGTAGTGGGTAGTGTTATATATATAGTTACATATGCATATCGTGTTGTCCGGTTTCGCATCTAAAAGTGATTCGCGTTGAAAAGAAAGACTATAAGAGCAACCTTTTGGGAAATTGAATCTTTTTGACCTTCTGCAAAGTAGATAAGCAAAGAAAAACCCGTGTTTTCTTTCCATAACTTTATAGATTACTTGTTTTTTAACATATATATATATATATAAGTTAAGTGAGGCGTGTTGGGTGTGAATTGTCGTTTGATGGAATTGTAGAAAAGCTATATAGCTTTAATGGCCACAACTTTCCATGAATGATTGGTGGTGGTGTAGATAGGTGATATGTGTCTATAACATGAGCAGGAATTGCCGACGTCGTTTATAGTGGTTCTATACATAAGCCAGTACTGAAACGACTGACGATGTCGATGTACGCCATTTTATGCTGGAATTTTTTAAATTAAATTATGTAGTGGTGATTATTGGAGTAAGATGTAAAGAAAGTGTAATTTGGAGGCTAAAAGAGAAATAAAGGAAATTGGATGGTTCAGAAAAAAACAGAGAAAGGAAATTGAAGTGATAGATGCTTTTTTTTTTTTTTTTTTTTTGACTTTTTCTGGGTATGCATGTAGCTGCTTTTTCATTTCTCTTCATACACCACATCTATACTTACACACATGTACATGTTGACTTAAATAATAAAATAATTCTTATACTATTTCTCGTTTCTGTTTAAGTTTTATACTATTTTTTCTGTCTTTGTCTTGTAATTGATTTTTTTTTTTTTTTAATTTGCTAACGGCGTGGTTATACGAGCTTTTCTTCTAAATATATATATATATATCCACGTGACCACCATCTAGATAACATGTGGTATACATGTGTGAATATATTTTTCTAAAATCAAAAATTCAATACTACAATTACCCTCATTCCTCTCCCCCTGCTCTCTCTTCCCCCATTGCAGCACCCATGAATACCAAGGCAGAAGATACTGAATGGTCAATCTATTTTTTCAACATACCCTCTCATTTTATCACCCAACTCAATCTATTGTCAGTAATTTGTGTTAATATTGTAGAAAATTAATGTATAAGTTATAATTTATTTTAGTTATTAATTTAAATTTAAATAAGTTTTATTTTTTAAATATTATATATTTAGTAAAAAAATTATTTTTTAGACTATTTAATTTATATTTATTTTTTATATAATGATAGTTTATTTTTAAAAAATTAGTTTGTGTAAATCTATTTAAAAATTCATTAAGTTATTAATTTCGTAGAGTTAATAAAAATTTAAATATTTTTAATATAGAAAAACTCCAACAAATGGTATAAGAATTTTTCTTGTTCATTGGTATGTGAAAAAAAAAAATAGAGATGAAAAGCAAAGGAATGAGCCTTCATTGCCCAGACATCAAACAAATGCTTATCAACATCATAAAAAGGAAAAGTTTTCACCATGCAAAGTATGCAAGAAAGACAATTATGATTAAAAAAAAAATTTATTGATATAAAGATAAATCACAATATTTTAATTGTAAAAAATTTTTTTGTATATACAAAAAAAAAATGCAGATTTAAGAATGAGTAAACAAATTTTGGTCAAGAAAAATTTAAAAAAAAATGGAGAGAAATACTCCAAGAGAATTAATAAAGAATTTTGATGAAAAATGCATCAATAATTAAAGATTGATGAGAAGTGCATTATAATACTTCGCTAGCGCACCAGCTGGATACAAAAAAAAATATAAAATATATATTAATTAATTAGGAAAAAAAAAGAATGTAAAGAGAAGGAGAACAAACCAAGCAGCAATATATATATATATGTATGTATATATATATAATGAAATAGCAGAAGAAAAAAAAAAGGGGAAGAGAAGAAGGAGGAGAAGAAGAAAGAGAAAAATCATGGTCGGGTAGAGAGAAAGAGAAGGAGAGAGAGAAGAAAAGGAAGAAGAAAAAGAAAGGGAAGAGAAGGAAGAAAGAAAAAAAAAAGAAGAAGAAGAGGAGTTGCGTGAAAGGAGGAAGAAGAAGAAAAAAAAAAGGGAGAGAAAAGAAGAAAAGATTAAAAAAAAAAAGAAAGAAAACAAAAAAAAAGAGAAAAAAAAGAAAAAAAAAAGAAAAAAAAATTAAATCAAGGAAGAAAAATAGAAGGGTGGTGACCAAATATGATATTGGTGCGCTGCATGCAACAACGCACACTAATTCGATCATCCTGACATTTTCGATGACATGCGTATGATGTCGCGTGGTGGCGTTAGCGACTGGGACCACGTGTTCTAAGGTAAAATTCATTCTTAATTTCATATAATATAGTTTCTAAAATTATTCATAATTTAATCTATGTGTTTTCTATTATAAACGAGAAAAATTATCCATATGGTATTTGAACTTCTAAGAGAACTGTAAAACGAGTTAGAAAGGATTCCCAAACCTTTTCTAATCACACCATAGGTAAGAATTATGTATATTCCGTACGGAAACATAAATTATATATTTATGTAAATGTGTATATATATGGTGCATTGTGTGTGAATATTTAAATGTATGTATAGTATAATAGAAATATAATTAATATGTCTAATTTGTATTTGCTTGTGTTTATGTAGTGTATATATATATGTTGTAACGGCCTCGGAAATTTAAAGAAAATGTATATATTTATTCTAAGTGCGGAAGCGAAATAAAATAGATTATGATTAATATCCCTTACACAATAATCAAAACGTATTAAAGTTATGAAAGAATAAACTAACTGAAAGAAATACTATGAATGAATACTATAAGGAAAACTAATAAATCTTTAGGCTTCTATTCACCGTCTTCCTGTGGAACGGGCTCGGGAATCAAGTCCTCCTGATCTGAAATGGTTAAGTAAGGAATGAGCTACACTAACCCAGTAAAGATGTCACACTATTTCATTGTCACAGTAATAAAGGTCGGTAAAAAATAAAAACGACCAATGGAACATAATTCATAACAAATTCATTTATCAATAATAAAACTCTTTATGGTCCACTTACCTCGGTGAGATTCATGAAAACAATTTATGAAAACAATAACATTATAAACATCATAAGATCATGCACACTCTGTAACATAACACATATCATACTTTTGTATTTCAATCATCAGGCAACAAATTTCCTCTTTTATCAGCATACTAGTATCCATGAGGATCCATAGGAGTCCCCGCTACACGTGAACCATTCTCCTTAATTCCAGGGCCGTCTCCATACCTCGTCCGGTATGAGGGTGAAGCGGGCCGTCCCCATACCCCGTTTGGTATGAGCGCCAAAATATTTAAAGTCTTCATACCCCGTCCGATATGAGAGACCACGTCCTTGGTAGGGTTCCCTATGGACCTGGTCTGTCCACCATCTCTCAGGATATCTAGTGAGGCTGTCGACTTATCCACTTATAAATTTCACATACCATCCTTATTTTTCTTAGTCTCAATTACCCAATCAATATAAATACGTAAACTAGCAACGCACACCAAATAAAGCAACACAACATCGGGTTCACAATAATTCAAACCATTATAGATTAAACAGTTATTCATGCATACGGAACCACATAATAAACAATCAGATACTATACTGCATTTAGACTGTAAAATACATCAAACAGAAACAGACCGATAAATATATCAGGTTCGTTCCCCATTAACAATCTTAATTAATTATACATATCTATTAATTCATAAAATACCGTTTTATCATTTATTAAGCTTCAATGCCGTGATAGAAAATAGGGTGAGGGATCCTTACTTGTTTTAGAGTCTGAAATCGGGTTCTCACTGCGCCTACGCCAGTCCCTAGATTCCCTGAATTTTTTTTCGGAAACTGAATACACTTCCGTACCTGCACATGTCCCAAAAAATCTCAATC